TAGTTTTAACAGCTGAGTGAATTCGGCACATAGTTTATTGTGCGGAGCTTTCATACGTTCAGTAATGATGCTTCTAACAAAATTGTAGCAGCTCTAGCTCAAAGTCTGTTAGAACAGAAATGAGTCATGGGAACCAATTCTTCCGTCTCAGGAAGTCCCAGGTCCCAGAACGACAATTGCACATTCGCGATTTTATCCAAATTACGTACTACATACGTCAAAATTTCGAATGTTCAAATATCGGGTTTGTTCGAAAATTCATGTATTCGATAGACGGCCGAATATTCGAATTTTTTAACTCAAAAGACGAGTATTCGAGTCGAATTGTTCGAAACCTGAATTTTCGAATATTCGATTTCTCGAACTATTCGAAGATATTGAAAATTTGAACATTCCAATTTTCGAATTACTCGGAAATGTTTAATTTCGGTCATTCGAATTTTCGAATGTTTCGGATTAATTATTAATGTTTTATTCGAATGACGATTATATCCAATTCGGTCCAGTGTATGGTTTCTAGGTAAGAGTAGTATCCGGGCGAATTTACGATTTAGAGTTCTTAAGCTTTTCTGGACCTCTTCGGTATGCTGAAGACGATCGACTTGAATCGACAGCGATTTCCCCTCCAGCGCCGCACCCTTTAGCTGGAAATGCATGCGATCATTTAAGGACCAGAAAGGCGAATATGTAAAATCGCGCCGCTCCGAAACCGAAATCGTTCAGGTGGAAACACAGAAACACAAAGTATGCGTCTCCATGTCCATAATTTTCCGATATATATATATATATATATATATATATATATACAGACATAAGATTTTGATATTTTGAGATACAGCTGGGAACTGTCGGCTTATCTTCCTCTGTTATCATGAAATGTAAAGAAATACACATTCGCCAGGAAAACTCTGAGAAAAGAGAGAGGGTAAAGCTGAATGCCAGCTTGTGATCCAGATAGCCGCAGTATGGAGTTGTGCTCGTTTCGGCTGCGAATAAACATCAGGCCAAGAAGACAGGCTATAGATATATCACTACAAGCGTTTGAATCATGATGTAGTCTTGTAACTTCTTATAAGATATAATACAGAAGGAAATCGTGAAGTATTTCAATGGAAATTAGGAAGTTTGTTTGACGCAAGCAAAGAGGGTGAAGAGAAAGGTATCAGTGGGCGCAGTATTGTTTAATATGCAATAGGATAGCGCAAGATGGCCAGATACACTGAACTCTAATCTACATCAAAGATTCACGTATGCCTTCGCTTTAAGTCTTGTGTGTGAAACTAGGTGTTGAAAACGATAACACGACAACGATTTCTTCAAGCATTTTTGCGCATTTATTGCAGGGATGAAGTCTTCAGGCTCTCAAGTCTCGATCTCTGATGAGCATCTTATCTTGAGTGGCCATACTGCGCTAGCAGTTTCTAATTTATTGAAAGGGTTGCTTTCAAGTTTTTGGTGAGAACTCAGATTAATTCTCCCTAGATCTCCGAGTATAACTGCATGAGGTCCACCAAAGACATGTTCTCTTTTTAAAAATCTTAATTGAATCAAAATAGAACAACTAGAAAAGGAATCATCACAGGAAAGAACAAACAATTGAAAACAAAACTGATGAAGAAAACTACACGGTACGAAGAGATCTCCAAAAATATGGATTTTGTTCGAATCGACGACGAAAGTTGTTGTACCATTCCTGAAGCGCAGAAACTGGTATGAAATCAGCATATCCTAGAATGTTAACATTTTGAAAGCCGAAACTTAAGTGTATAAGCAGATGCGCTGATAATCAGTAGCGGGTAACAAACCTTGGCCATCTGGTCTGACTAATCTGGTTGTGTACGATTCTGCATGGTTTACTAAATTTCGTAACATGGTTTCGGCAAATTCCGCCAAAGTAGACTGAAATTTCACATAAACGCAACACAAAAGCGTTGCTCAGGAAACTGATCTGACAATACAATTTGATAATATTCTGTTTCAACTTACTTTTTGTACTATAAAATTACGTTTTACAATCAAAAGAAGCGTTCACTTGCTGATAATATAAAAAACCAGAGCAGTAACTTTTTTGGCATATAATAAGTAGCATGGGTCTTCGATCACCTGCTGAGTAGCCTGAGTTCCCTCAGCAGCTGCCCGTCCCTCTATAGCGGTGAGAGGCTCTACCATGAGCCCAATTTGGACTGATCCCATCGTTCCAGACCCCATAGCGCCGCCAAATACACCCGTATGGCGAATCTCAGATAAATGAAGCTGAAAAAACCCGGTTTGAAAGAATTGTAGGAGTTTGTAATCTGAATCTCATGACGAAAAATTTACGAAATAGAGTTAACTCGAGTCTTCGTTATACTCAGTGAATCCTAAGAATGATGGAAGAAGAAAGCAGGCTCCATGTAGGAAGTATGTGGGAATCATTACTTAGACTGGGCTAGAAAACAATAAATCTCGGAAAAGCCCACAAGTTTTGCAAGTGTCTTTAGCATTTGTACTGCCTTTCTCCCTTTTCTTTTTTCGTAATAGCTGCTTAAGCAAAAAGCGCCGCAGAAGTTGGGCAGAAAGCAGTATTCCTTTGCAATGATTTCTGGGCTTTATTTACAGTTACAGATGTTGGAATATTCGGAATTAAACTTAGACGTGTATAAAGCACTCCACATAACGGGGGGTTTGAAGGACCATTTGAGGTTGTTTCATCAGATTCTATATTCTTCAGATCTGGCTCCACAGAATCTCTCTTTTCCTGCTAATCCCAGGCAAAAGATAAATTATGGTAAAGAAGGGTCTCTTTAAAACTAGCTGAACATCTTACTCAAGAGGACATTAGCTACTCTGGTGCAACGACATCAACAAATTTTTGAAAGAGATGAGAAGGAGAAAAGCATTGCCACCAAGTGCCGGAAAGTTGTGTAAATTAGAGTAGATTCTAAGGATCAGAATTGCTGTTCTTTGTCGACATGACATTCCATAACTCTTATCAAACAGAAAAACAAAATCAAAGAGGATACAATGAACGAGAATAACAAGAAAAGAGCTTCTATGCTAAATGTATAAAACGTGCAAATGTATGATTGTGGGCAAACTATGGAAGTGCAAAGAAGTGAGCTTAGAAAAATCACGGATTATGTAACAACTTGATAGACAGGCATTTGGAACTTATATTGAGACCTGAAACCATTATATCATTCGCAGTTCAACTCCAGAATCCTCGTAGATTGGCCGAATTAGATGCACTCCGAGTATTTTACCTACCTTTACTCTTACTTTAGTACTAATTTCCTGTAAACCAAAGTTCCCCGTTAAACCTGTCACAAGAAGAATGCTATTGTTAAAAGAAGATGACTACCTTAACACTAGAAAAGATTTCGTTT